GTCACCTGTGAAGAGAAGCAAGTGCAGGCATGGCCTTCCCCAGAGCATGGGGGCTGGCTTTTAACTCCTTTGTCATTGTGGCTGTTTCTACTACAGAAGTGTTTGTGAAATCATAGGTGGGCTGTAAAGCCAACTTAGAGGTTCTAAAATGAAAGACAAGACTAGATGAAAGTACATAATTGTAGGAAAGGTTATTGATTCATGAAACCTTTGTTAGAAGGGGGTGAATATGTGCACACACTCAAATTATGGTCAGTGTGAAGTGTATTATTTTTTACTCTGAGTATAGGTATTTAAGAGTAGGAACTAAAACACTTTTGTAGTTTTTTACATGTGTATCACAAAGTATCTTGCATAGAGTAGGCGTCTGACAAATGTGTGAGTAAATAAACTGAAAGTGAATTTTATGTAGTTATTCATGGGCACATGAGGTCTGGATGTGACATGTATTGCACATTACAACCACAAGTGTGACTCCTGTATGTTTGGGGCACACATGGATACTTGCACTTTTTATTTAAAAAGATGGTTTTTAAAACAGCACATATAAATCGCACCAGCCTCAACTAAGTGCTCCCTAAATGCCCATTAACTTTAAAAGATGGCAGTCGTTTTAAAAGCAATCTTTACACAGAAGGGAGTATTTTGAAAAAACCAGGGTATTGCTAACTAAGCATAGCAGCCTATACCATCGGGCACTTAAAAAAAGGGCAAATAAACTTTGCTGTTAAAAAATGAGGCCTGGGCTGGAAACATGGTCCCCGGAGGACTTTGAGGCAGTACCATCAGGCACACAGCTACAGGCTCAGCAAAATAGAAAACACCACCATGTGGAAAGATTTAAGAGAGCAGCAGCCCCAGTGAAGAAAACAAAGCCTGCTGAGCTCCTAGAGGATGCCAGGAAAAGTAGGTCGCTGGGGAAAGTAAGTTGGGTAAAGTAATGGGCTCATCGAAGAGCCTGCACAGTGTCATCTTTCTTAGTCTTTCCAAATTGCTGTGTCATTCCTAGATTTAACTTACTCAGTATCCTTCCAAAACAAAACTGGGGCTTTAGCTGTGGAACACTGTGCTCCAGAGAACCCAGGGAACCATCCGCGTGTCAGCCTCCCACCAGTTGTGCTTTCCAGAGCCAAGACCCAACCCCAACTCCAACAAAGCTGTCATTACCTCAGAAAAGCAGATGCATCCACATAGCCATCTTGGGTGGAAGCAAACGGATGGTAGTTTCTTCTTTCATAGAGTTCGCTCTCACTTACCTAAACAGTTCTCCATATATACTACAAATTTGAAGAAGAGAAGAAGTTTTGAAGGGGAGAACATGAGGGAAACTTTCTGATACGACTCTATGATATGTTAAAGCTCACTACTTTACATTTAGAAAAGTTGTAGCAAAACAGGCTTTCTATTAAAGCTCAAAACATAACTTCTTATGGGGAAATAAATACTAACCATACTGAATAATGATACTGAATCATGATCAAGGCCTCTGGGTATTTTATAATTCTGGCCAGAAAATCTGCCTCAATAGATATCATGGAACTTGTTCTTTACTTTGGAAAAAGAAAAACAGATTGAGTAGAAACAGAACCGCCTTGCAAAAAAGACAGAGAATTTCTTAAACGTGATAAAGCAAACTATATGTCAGTGCTTCCCACCTCTACCCCACCTTCCATCTGAGGAAGACAGAAGATGAACAGGACAGTGAGAGGCTGAGCTGACACCAAGCTCAGGGCCACCATGCTTGGCGGCACTGGTCTGTTTACTCTGGTTTAACATATTATTTACTCCCATTAAAAAAATCCAGTCCACCTTTGACAGAGACAATGATTTCTTGGCTAACAATACTAAGAGGGAATGTGCTTCTCTTCTTCATTTGTCTGCCCAGAAAAGGATAAGTTAACCTATGCAAACCATCAAGGCAACATGTAACTCCTGTGCTGTGAGCAGCAGTTCCTGGAGCATGTATTTAAAGAGGACACCTTTCCAAGCACCTCACTTTGCCTGTGGGGAACCCAGGGGCCCTGTGGCTAGGATGGCTTCCCCATGGGAGCTCATGATTGGGGTACATACAACATGTAAGTCTTCAGCTAATTTCCAGTCCCTCTTTTCTATTTTTAATTTCCTTAATATGACATTCATCTTCTCTTCCTGTGAAACAGCCATCCCAAAAGGACCTTCCTTTCGAGCAATGGCTCTTAACCAGGGTGATGTTGACAACATCTGGACACATTTTTGATTGTCACAAGGGGAGCAGGCAGTAGCCAGGGATGCTGCCAAACACCCTGCAGTACAGCAAAGAAAGATCCGGCCCAGCATGTAAGTAGTGCTGGGGTTCAGAAACCTGTCCTAGAGCATTTTGATTCCTTTGGCCCCTCACCTGGCCTATGGGCAGATCCTCGGGATTTTACTTTGCAGCACCTCCTACCTCCAGCTCTTTGCTCTGCTGGGTGCTAAGCGGCCAGTCCTGCAGTACTCCCACAGGACTGCTGCAGATGCCTCCCAGCTACACAATGCTAGATCCTCTCACAGGCTTTCTCTCACTCCGCTATCCTCAGCTCTAACTGCACATTACAATCAACGGGGAGTCTAAAAATATATGCCCAGCACTTGGCCCCAGTTAATCTCTGTGGCATGCACCTGGCCTTCTGTCATTTTTAAAGCTCTCCAGGGGGTTCCAAGGTGTGGTCAGGGTCGAGAATCACCGCTTCAGGGCTTCCTAAGGTCCGCTGATAGAAGTACAAGCACACCAGGAAACCACAGCCCTCTTCTGCCTTTCCCGCCCCTCCCCTTCTGTTCCACAGCTCTAGCCAAGCTGTGCCCCCTGCTTGTGGTCCTGCATCTGTGAGGCTCCGTGCCAAAAAGGTCTTCTTGACCCAAATCTCCCCCAGTGGAAATACCAGCAGTCCCCGTCTGCGCCGCCACCTCCCTCGCAGTGCTTCTCCTGAGTTCCCACCTGAGATACCATCTGTCCCTTCTAGAAGTCCGCAGCCCTCATACCTCTCTTCTGGGTTTTAGCACACTGGACCATGCATATGGTGATTAGTAAGCCATCCTTTACTAGCCATTTTGCCTCTCTCCTCCCACCACTAATCAAACTGCACACTCATTGAAAGTTCAGGCTCCATCTGCTCACAGGCCCAGCCTTCCCGGGACCCAGCAGAGGCCTCACATGTAGCCATGGTCAGGACACCCTTGGCCAGAACAGCAGCCTAGGGAATGAGGGGACTACACCCACCTCTCAGTGTCCGGTCCCCAGAAACACTCTGTAAGCCCTGCCATCATCTGCCTTAGTGACCATGTCTCTGCAACTTGACCATCAGTATTACAAGGCTTCCTTTAGATCCTTGGAAATACCAAACACATGCTGCATGTTTCCCGTTCACCCAGGAAAGAGAAAGCCGTGTTAACTCAGCAAACAGAATCAGCTTCCTAGGTGCGTGGACTGCAGAGTTCTGGGCTCTCATGCACAATGTCTGGGAACTGTAAAAGCCGAGGAGGCCAGAGGGAAGCACACTGGCGCCTCTCAAGTGCCCTAAGACTTGAAGATGCCATTGTGTGGCAGCATGGTGACTGCTTTGGAAGGAATTTTTTGTTTTAATTCTCATCATCATCCACTTTAGAAGGATGATTATAAATGACTCATAATAAAATGTACTTGCAGCATCAGAGGTGAGTAAAGCAGGCACCAGCATGTTGATTGCCTATAAAAAGATATTCTGAAAACTTCATATTAGACAGACTAAACATAGTTGTGAGCCGACAGGGGACAGAGCTCTAGGGGACAGAGCACACAGATGTCGGCTCTGGCCACTCTGTAAGCTGGAAATCAGCCAACCCTGTACTGTTCTCTTCTGCAAAGTGTGGGGAGGGGCCAATACCTGCTCACCTCTCCCAGAGTGCCTGCAGGGACCTTTGCTCCCAGAGCTCTGTGATTGACAGAAGGCCCTGGGCTCCCTGGCCTTCGCATTGGCCTTCCTCCTGAGACGCAGGAGACAAGGGTGAGTGCACACAATTCAGTCCATACAAGAGGCAGAGAGCCAAAAAGTAAAAACAAACAAAAAAGCAACAAGATGGTTCCTCCTAGCATTCCTCCCAGAATTCGTGTGATACTGCCTGTATCTTGCCTTTCACCCCATGCTACAGCAGTGCCAGACCATGCCAGAAGCAGCCAGAAACCTGTTGACATTCTGGTTGTTGGAAGTCTACGCTTTATCACCTTTGTTCAGTCAGCTCTCTAAAAGTGTCACTTGGGAACACTCAGTGGCTTCCTGAGCTTATAGCCAGATCTTTGCCTGATCTCTCTTATTAAAAGGAATTCAGGGTATGTGTGGATGGAGAAGGAGGAAAAAGTTAAGGGTGAGAAATTGAGTCAGAGACTGATTCTCCAAAACTCTGGGTTTGGAGTCAGAAAATTTGAGTTCCAAAACCATCCCTGGCACTTACTGGCCATGCGTGACCTTGAGTAAGTTCTTAAGCATCTTTGAGCCTCAGCTTCACAGTCATTTACATGGGAATTCACTCCACATAGATCCCTTGAGCCCCTGTTGCTGGCCAACCACCAGGTGAGGAGCTGGAGACTCAGATGAGTGAGATGGGATCTGGCCCTGATGTCTGCTGAAAGGCCAGGTGGGCATGTACCCATCTCTAAGAGTCATTATAATAACTGCCATGCACAGGCCACTACCTCCTGCCATCCCTGATCCCACAGGGTGGATGGGAGGATCAGATGAGACAAGGTTCTAGAATGCCAGAGTTCCACACAGATGGAGACTGTCATTGTCATCATGTAGGCCAGCCTAGAAATAAGAGGTCAGAAAGATACTGGGGGCTGATCTCATTTCTGAGCTGGTGAATGCTAATGAATGTGACTTGATAGTTACTATTAAAACCCAAAGTGTCCGAGGCATTTGAAGTATATTTTAGTCCCATGTTGAATTACTACAGCCCAAGAAATTGTTTCAGGTGCATGTTTTAAATCAGGCTTTCATCTTGCGCTGTAGGTGGCTGAATTTGTACAGTCTCTGCTGGGCTGTGAAGAGCATGCCAAGTGCTTCAAGAAAGAGGTAAGAAATGTAAAATATATAGTATATATTTGTACATATATATATATATATATATATATGTATGTTTTCTACCCCCCTATATTTCTAGATTCAGAAAAGCTTTGTTTCCATTTACTTAAGTATAAATAAGNGTTAACTCAGCAAACAGAATCAGCTTCCTAGGTGCGTGGACTGCAGAGTTCTGGGCTCTCATGCACAATGTCTGGGAACTGTAAAAGCCGAGGAGGCCAGAGGGAAGCACACTGGCGCCTCTCAAGTGCCCTAAGACTTGAAGATGCCATTGTGTGGCAGCATGGTGACTGCTTTGGAAGGAATTTTTTGTTTTAATTCTCATCATCATCCACTTTAGAAGGATGATTATAAATGACTCATAATAAAATGTACTTGCAGCATCAGAGGTGAGTAAAGCAGGCACCAGCATGTTGATTGCCTATAAAAAGATATTCTGAAAACTTCATATTAGACAGACTAAACATAGTTGTGAGCCGACAGGGGACAGAGCTCTAGGGGACAGAGCACACAGATGTCGGCTCTGGCCACTCTGTAAGCTGGAAATCAGCCAACCCTGTACTGTTCTCTTCTGCAAAGTGTGGGGAGGGGCCAATACCTGCTCACCTCTCCCAGAGTGCCTGCAGGGACCTTTGCTCCCAGAGCTCTGTGATTGACAGAAGGCCCTGGGCTCCCTGGCCTTCGCATTGGCCTTCCTCCTGAGACGCAGGAGACAAGGGTGAGTGCACACAATTCAGTCCATACAAGAGGCAGAGAGCCAAAAAGTAAAAACAAACAAAAAAGCAACAAGATGGTTCCTCCTAGCATTCCTCCCAGAATTCGTGTGATACTGCCTGTATCTTGCCTTTCACCCCATGCTACAGCAGTGCCAGACCATGCCAGAAGCAGCCAGAAACCTGTTGACATTCTGGTTGTTGGAAGTCTACGCTTTATCACCTTTGTTCAGTCAGCTCTCTAAAAGTGTCACTTGGGAACACTCAGTGGCTTCCTGAGCTTATAGCCAGATCTTTGCCTGATCTCTCTTATTAAAAGGAATTCAGGGTATGTGTGGATGGAGAAGGAGGAAAAAGTTAAGGGTGAGAAATTGAGTCAGAGACTGATTCTCCAAAACTCTGGGTTTGGAGTCAGAAAATTTGAGTTCCAAAACCATCCCTGGCACTTACTGGCCATGCGTGACCTTGAGTAAGTTCTTAAGCATCTTTGAGCCTCAGCTTCACAGTCATTTACATGGGAATTCACTCCACATAGATCCCTTGAGCCCCTGTTGCTGGCCAACCACCAGGTGAGGAGCTGGAGACTCAGATGAGTGAGATGGGATCTGGCCCTGATGTCTGCTGAAAGGCCAGGTGGGCATGTACCCATCTCTAAGAGTCATTATAATAACTGCCATGCACAGGCCACTACCTCCTGCCATCCCTGATCCCACAGGGTGGATGGGAGGATCAGATGAGACAAGGTTCTAGAATGCCAGAGTTCCACACAGATGGAGACTGTCATTGTCATCATGTAGGCCAGCCTAGAAATAAGAGGTCAGAAAGATACTGGGGGCTGATCTCATTTCTGAGCTGGTGAATGCTAATGAATGTGACTTGATAGTTACTATTAAAACCCAAAGTGTCCGAGGCATTTGAAGTATATTTTAGTCCCATGTTGAATTACTACAGCCCAAGAAATTGTTTCAGGTGCATGTTTTAAATCAGGCTTTCATCTTGCGCTGTAGGTGGCTGAATTTGTACAGTCTCTGCTGGGCTGTGAAGAGCATGCCAAGTGCTTCAAGAAAGAGGTAAGAAATGTAAAATATATAGTATATATTTGTACATATATATATATATATATATATATATATATATGTATGTTTTCTACCCCCCTATATTTCTAGATTCAGAAAAGCTTTGTTTCCATTTACTTAAGTATAAATAAGAGCAGTTTGGAGAGAGTCAAGAGAAGAGGTCCTAGCAGGAAAGAGCCCAGCAGTACAGTGGGCACAGCACGGCCAGCCTCTGTCTCTGGTTCGCTTATGTTTGCTGTGCTTTGGCACAGAATGCTGTGGTGGTTTTCTCGTATAGCATGTTCAAGAAATGGACTGTTTGAACATGTTAATTGATTAATACTTAATTAATTATTAAGTATCATGAAGCCTCTACACCATGACTTTACGCTTCCCTGGGGACAGGGAGGAATCCCACCATGGGCCTGCCCCTGGGAGGAGGGGACAGTTGTCCACTCCACACTGAAAGTGGGACTATCCTGTGTTTCCTTGCTCTGTGGCTGCTTTAAGGGGAGTGCAGAGAATCCACAAATCCTTCTATGGGGATTCTGCTTCCAACTTCCTCTCTGTTAGCAATACACCTAACTGCTTAACATTTGTCCTGGAATTGATATCCATACCTCTAGAGGCCCCAGAAGAGACTGGACCAGCTGCAGAATAATAATGCGGAAAATGATAGTTATTGTGCCAGGCCCTCTGCAATCCCTGGACCATTGTTGTCCTTGGGTTCTCACAACTCTGCAGGGCAGTTCACCGATGAAGACGTGAAGGCTCCAGAAGGAAAGGGCAGTCGGATTCCAGTCCACATCCATCTGATTCCAGAGCCTCCATCACTGCTCTACAACTCTCCAAGAAAACTGTACTCCTAGAGACTAGACTGTAATACACATTCTCTCTCTCTAGAGGTCGGGGCATGCATGACTCACAGGAAGTATTCCTTGAGTTTGGTCCTGGAACCCCTCAGAGCCTGGCAAGTCCTGTATTTCTAGGGAACTCAGCATCAGGGTAACTATGGTGTCAGTCTGGGTAGCTGCCGATGGAAACCTGGGGTTCTCCTGGTTCAACCTGAGCCCAGCACAGCTTGGACACAGTTGGTCCAGCCTCACATGACCAGGCATTTAGCAACACCCAAGACTCCTTCTTCATAAGTCTCCTTACAGGTCAAGCTGCTCCAGCTTGGCACTAGGACCAGCAGTGTCACCATGACCACATCACTTCTCTTACCCTCTTCTATAAACACAGAGTTCTCTGAGGGGACCTGAATTATTAGAATGAGTTATGTTTACAGTACCTAGCCCAGCTCTTGTCCCAGAGAAAGGGCTTAATAAATGGCAGCAACATAGAGCAGAGGTTCTCCTCTGGAGGCCAACAAGCCCTGCCTGAAATCCCAACATTGCTTCTTAGAAGCCGTGACCATGAGAGAGTCATCAGGCTTATAACTGTGGGTTTCCTCATCCACCTTATGGGGTTGTTGGGAAGAGTAAAGCACACAGAAAAAAATTGAATATAGCTCCATGAACACTAACTGTTATCATCACCATCATCACCATCATTACCTTATTTTTAGGATAAGTGGCTCTTTGGCCAGTGGGTTTTGCCTCAAAATGCTGGAGCTGAACGCAGGTTAGGGTATGGAAACAGGGAGCTTCTCTCCTTTGCTGTGGAAAATAAGCTTTTTACCCCACGGGAAAGGTATTCCATTCTCTAAATGGGCGATTCCTCATTGGGCAATATATCATAAATACACAAGAAGCTTTTTAAAACTTTTTCAAAAATGTATCCCCCCACCCACGGTCCCTGAGTGACCCCTCCTTCCATGGTGAGACATTAATACTAAGGGTTTGTATCGTTCATTAAAAGGTTAGAACCATGGAGCTAGATTCATGGAAAGGTGCTACTATAGGAAACCCTTTCATCTGTCCTTTCGATTCTGGAACAGTACTCTTTTTGAGCCATCTGTGTAAATAGGTGAGGTGAGTATAGCACATCCACAGTCTCCAGTGTAGACCTCTGAGACCACATGGAGTCTCTAGAAGCTATGGAGAAACAACCTGCGCCATGGCCACTCACCATCACATGAATCTCAGGAAAGCTATTACATCTCAGACCACACTGTTTTAAAAGTTAATAAATAAAACATTTATTTTGATTGTATTTCTGCTTATAACGGCAGAAATATCATACAAAACAATTAAAATACAGGAAAATTAAAAGGAGAAAATAAAAACCAAACCACTATTCCACCAGCCAAAAATAACTTCCCTTAACATTTGGTGCAAAGACTTCAAGTGGTTTAAATATATATATATATATATATATATATATATATATATATATATATATATATATAT